GGAGGAGCCGTGCTGCTCTCTGAGAGGAAGCAGGAACCATGCTCTCCTGTGTTTTAAATGCACTTTAGAACAGCACACAGCAACACTACATATGAGCAGGCGTAGGAAGGTTTGGGGTCTTCACTCACCCCGGTTCTGTTAGCTGTCAGGGCTGGGGAGCTGGGAGGAGGTGCTGGCCGTCAGATTGGGGTCTGGGATGCGGGGCCTCCCTGCTACTGCAGATAAGGAGGTGGTCCGCTTGCCTCCACCCCAGAGAGAAGGGTTACATCTCCTGGGTCTAGGTGCGGCTTGCCCCTCTGGGGGCAGAGGTACCTGGACCTGGGATATAGAGTATGTTTGGGGAGTGCGACTGTAAATGCAAATTTACATCGGAGTAGATTTCGGGTGACATGTCCATGGTAATTTTGGGTAATTTGTGATAAATAAAAGTAAAGTCTGGGAATATTTGAGGAAAGCTTGAATGTGACGTGTGTTTGAAGTTGTTGTGTTATGTGTGTGAGCGTGTTACGTCAGCCAAGAAAAGAGATTAGAGTAGGACATTTGGTCAGGGGATTTCATCCCCACATTGATTAGCAGGGTTGGACTCGGGCACCAGATAATTTAACTGTGGAATCCCCACAGTGGTGCTTTTAAATGTATTTAAATTATTCTAGGACAGGAGTTGGACTCAGAGGAGCGCGGTTGCTCAGCGTATATAGCACTTTATACAACATTCAATTCAATTTCAATTCAATTTTACTTATATAGCGCGAAATCACGAGTCGCCTCAAGGAGCTTTGTCTTTAGTAGACCCTACAATAATACATACAGAGAAAAGCCAACAATCATATGACATCCCCCCACCCCCACCCCCCAATGAGCAAGCACTTTGGAGACAGTGGGAAGGAAAAACTCATTTTTAACAGGAAGAAACCTCCAGCAGAACCAGGCTCAGGGAAGGGCAGGGCCATCTGCTGCAACCCGGGGTGAGAGAAGGAAGACAGGATAAAGACATGCTGTGGAAGAGAGACAGAGGTTAATGACAAGTATGATTCAATGCAGAGAGGTCTATTAACACATAGTGAGTGAAGAAGAAACACCCAGTGCATCATGGGAGTCCCCCAGCAGCCTACACCTATTGCAGCATAACTAAGGGAGGATTCAGGGTCACATCCAGTGTTGGGAAGGTTACTTTTAAAATGTATTCCACTACAGATTACAGAATACATGCCCAAAAATATATTTTGTTACGCATTCAGTGAGAATAACGTATTCTGAATACTTTGGAATACTCAATATCCTGTCATGCTTTTTACAACTACATGAATGTACTATTGCGATTTATTACTATTACTGAAGGCTACTTGCATACCAATACCAACTAGATTTTTAAATCTTAACCCTTTTATGCATGAATTATGACAACCTCAATCCGGATTTTTTTTCTTAAGTGTTACTATTCATCTTTAGGCATGAAAAAAAAAGATTTCTGAACTTCTTTTTGTAAACATGTACTTTCCAAAGAGTTGTTTACATGTCCACTTAGGTGGACAACATACATTTTGACTTAGGAATTTGACAGTCTCCAATGTAGTGGTTTATGTGCAAATATACCATCAACACTGACACAAATACAAGACAACAGCCTCTGAATAGCTGCCCACTGTAGTGGCCACTATGCGTGAAAGGGTTAAAGAAATCTACTACATCATGTGTCATTTTTTGTGTCATGTATAATTTCCATTGCAAATATTAATGACAGTTAAATTAAGAGAGGATGGCACTAAAAAAATGTGATGTCATCAAGTACAGTCCAATTGTAGAACGATTGCGCTGCATTCTCGGGAAGTCTGGACTCCCGTGTGAACTTCCGAAGTCCGGACTAGCAAGAATGCGAGCAATAGCACATGGTAGCTACTGAAGTTTCACCCAT